AACCTGTACTATTTATACATTTTAACAAAAAGCAGTTGTTGCAAACATTTTAATCGATGCACTATACCTGCCTATTTCTCCACATATAAAAGTCGATGTGATGGGTCACACATATCAATAATTAGCTGCCATCATTTCTAAAAACTAGCATCAGGATCAGCCGTTGAGAAGCACTAATGTGTCGACTTCTTTAACGTAAYGAAATGTTTGTTTGTGGCTGCAGAACCAACTCCAGGACGCTCCGCCAAGAGTCCAGACTCTGAGCAGAGTTCCTCGTCCAGCATCTACCAGAACTGTGCTCTAGAGGTTTGTTACACACAAACACTGGTTTAAAAGATGACTTTACTGGTTTATTATTAGTATTATAGTGTTTTTTTCCCCCTACACACACAGGTGCTGATGTCCAGTTGCTCCCAGTGTCGCACCTGTGAAGCTCTGGTTTACGAAGAGGAAATCATCGCAGGCTGGACGTTTGACGACTCCAACCTGAACACGATCTGTCCGTTCTGCCGCACGACCTTCCTGCCTCTGCTGCACGTCGAGTTTCACGACCTGCGCTCAATGCCCGAGTAAGACTCTGTTATATCAGAACATCTTGTCAGACACRGATCCGTTTTCATGTTTTTATTCTGAATTTTTTTTTTATTTCTTTCATTTTCCCCCAGTTTTTACATGAATCCCAGTGCGTCAGGAGACAGTTTGCAGAGCAGCAGCACTCAGCCGACAGCCAGCAGCTCAGCTGAAATCAAAACACCAGATCTCACGACGTTCTCTGAGGAGGAGCCGAAAGAGACTCCAAACAACCGAGCCGGAACACACAAGAGGTAAAACATGAGCTAATGCTCGTTAGCTGTCGGCAGCCATCTTGAACCTAATCGGGCGTTCATCCGATGACGTTTCTTCACAATAAAATGAGTGATCCKTGCGACGTTTTGTCTCCCAGTCTGATTCCAGGGCCGGTCCAGTCGGACCCGCTGGGTCTGCTGGAGCACCAGGCAGCAGGGAAGCAGCAGAAATGCAGCGGGACGTCGCTCACACGCAGCAACAGTGTTGGCGGTCCGCTGCAGAGCCTGGACTACTCCCAGAGACCCGGACACGGGGTGTCCACCACCAGCCTGCCCTGCAGCCTGCAGGAGGTGTCGGTCCGTGTTTGGTTTCATTAACAAAGGTGGTGTTTTTACCTGCAACTAACTGGTGCGTTTTATCAGGATGTCATCGGGAAGATACGACCAAACCCCAAACCTGTGTCTGTGCCGTACCTGAGCCCCTTGGTTCTACGAAAGGAGCTGGAGACCCTGTTGGAGAACGAGGGGGATCAGGTAAATCAGAAATCTCACAGTCTGCTTTGAGTTTTGGAAATGATGCCAACGTCTGGTCTCTGCCTGTCCAGGTCATCTACACGCAGAAGTTCCTCAGCCAGCACCCCATCATCTTCTGGAATCTGGTGTGGTATTTACGCCGCCTGGACCTCCCCTCCCACCTGCCGGGTCTCATCCTTACCTCTGAACACTGCAACAACGGAGTGCAGGTTAAACAGGCGTGGTCAAGCTTTTTCTGTRAATGCTGAGTCAGCACTGTGGTTTCTCTCTTTATAGTTACTTCTGTGTACTTTGTGCTATTTTAACCACTTCTGTACATCAAAGCATTTAGCTCATATAGGAGAGAAGTGTGACCTTTTTTATTCTATTTTTTTATATTTTTCAAAATCTTTAACTTTAATCGGTTCGTTCAAAACTTTCTCTTCATGAACTCCTTCAGCATCTTTTTTTATGCTTATGCTCCTTTTTAGCTTTTAGCTAATGTTCTGCTACTTTAAACATTTACCTACCATTTTGCTACTTTTATTTTTCAGTTACCCCTGTGCTTCTTCTAACTTTTACTGATGAGCTACATTTAGCTTTCAGCTGTTTCTGAGCTACTTTTAGCTTTGTTGCTCTACTTTTGGTGTTAAAGAACCATTACAACCATTACAGTTCTGCTTCTTTTAGCTACTGTTTTGCTGATTTTAGATTTTAGCYTGTGTTTTGTTCAATTCAGTCTCTGTTTTGCTTGTTGTAAAGGGATAGTCTGTTCATTTTTAATGTTTTGTCAGAAAGCTGTTAGCTACTAGCTAGTAGCCAAACCTGGACAAAGACTTCAGCATTTTTCTCCACATTCTGTGCTCTTTGCCTGATGTCACAGCTGATATGTTACTATTGATAACTATCTGAGAGAACATCACTATCCAGGGTTATTATAGTTAACTAAAACTAACTAAATAATGAAAACTGAAATTGAAAAAACATTTTAGTGAAATAAATAAAAACTGTAATAATATTAAAAAACAATAACTAAAACTGCATAATCTTTTTAAAGAACTAACTAAAGCTAACTGAAATTATAGATAAAATACCCTTAGTTTTAGTGTTTGTCCATTTATTTTGAGCCTTGTGGATCTTTTTATTTTATTTTATTTTA